TCTTTTGGGGTTTCATATGGAAGCTACCTGGGCCTTCCAGGGGAAGTTAACAACTTAGGGAAGATTCAAGAATGGCAAATGGCAACAATTCCTCTCTGTGTTTGCTTTTAGTTCATTGGGATTTGCATTGTGTATACACATGCACGTATATAAAACTCCAAAGTAAACCCATTCCTGTATTTAGGATTAAAAAAAAAAAGCCTGTCATACACCAGAAACTGGCTGGAGCCTGGCGCTTGGCATTGCAGACGGAGTTAGCAGTTTGTAGGCTTTGATGTGAAAGTTTTTTCCTCCTGTTTTACTAGCAATGAAGAGAATTTTAAAGAAAAAGCACCAGTCGGTGAGAAGTGTTTTTCCATAGTGAACGATGTAATGTCTTTTGGTATAATCCTCTATTTAGAAAGCTAGATGCCTTAAAGCGGTCACTGGCACCAAGGCTGCGTCTTACATAACCACCATACACGAGAAGCACAGTTGTGTGCAACTAATATTTTACAGTTGTGAATATTTTAAATGTACCATTTTCTCCTATAACACCCAGCACTGGCTTACACATTCTCACAGAATAATATTTTAGGTGTTTTAGAGCACTAGTTCGCAAATTTTAAGAGAAGCATAGCCTGGAGATGTATTAACATTTGAAGGTTGGGGCCCCACACCCAGAGACTCTGATTCAGTGTGCGCGAGTGTGTGTGTGTGTGTGTGTGTGTGTGTGTGTGCGCGCTCCAAGTACGCATTTTGGGTTGTTGCTGTTGGAGGGAACTTGTCCTTTTCACAAGCAACCCAGATGATTCAGATGCAGGTGATCGATGGACCTTAAAGAGAAACATCACATCTAGAATCTATAAAATATTGAAGTTCTATGGTCAAAAGAATTGAGAGTTCAAATCACAACATTTCTATTTATAAAAGTTAAACAGTAATTGGTCACTCCAGGGAAAATAAGTCTGCATTTCCCACAGGTTATCTTATTATATCTTCACCACACTCCTCTGAGGTGATGGGGGTGGGTGATATTATTTTGACTTTGCTGATAAGGAGCTTAATGCAGGTTAAATGATTTGCCAAAGGCTACAAAGCCAGTTGGAGCAGGTTGCTTGACCTTTAAACAAAGGTCAAATAGGATGGCATCTCCTTTGACAGTCCTAAAATGAAAAGCTCTGAGATGTAACATGAAGAAAATATAAGCATATTTCCTGATCCAGCTTTAGGTCAAGTTCTCCTCATCTCTAATTCAAAGCTCCACTTCAGCAGACGACTTTGGGCTAAAGGAAGTTTGTCATTCACCTTTAAGCAGTAGCTTTGAGGACCCATTATAGAAAAGCCCATTACCCACTATTACAGGGAAACATCACCGCACACGTTCCTCAGCTGAGGACTTTGTTGTTATCTGCAAGATAGATATAAGCTGAGTTTTTAATTCGCTTTAGACTTAATTTGAATCTAGAAAAATGGAAAAATAGGGCATCCCTTAAAAATCCCACAAATGTTGCACATTCTCAGGAGAGGAAGTATACAGTTGACTTTTTTGATTTCAGAAACTTTCCCTGGGACTTCTTGGCTTGCAGTCTGGTTGAGTTTGGGGCACCATACCATGAAGTGCCATAGGGGAGAAAGAGACTCTTTGACAGTGGAAAATCACTCTCATTCTACAGCCTTCCTTCCTTTTGCCCTCAAGGGAAAACCTGCCTTCCCCCTCGTGAGAAAAACCAAATATAATGAACAAGACAAAGAAATATTTAATCAAATTAGTTTAGGAAACCCTAGCAGAAACAATGCATCTTTTCAACAGTTTACAACGTTATGAATAGACACTGTTCCGTGTGTGGAGTCTGTCTCCGGCTCCTGAGCGAGAAACACCGTTTGCCACTAGACAACAGTTTCACTCTAGAGCTCAAAGGAACCATGCTCACTTGCCAAAAACCTGCTGCTTCATAACCATTTTACAAAAAATGGTTTATAAAAATAACTACAATCTGATGACGATGATGACGATGAAGACAATGATGACGATGACAACGATAATGATGATGATAAAGCAGTCTTTGTCCAGAGTACCCCTCCCTCCTAAGCACTCACCTATGTTAGCTTGGCTACTATAACAAAATACCACAGCCTGGGTGATGTATCAGTACATGAATTTATTTCTCACAGTACTGGAGGCTGGAAGTCTGACATTAGGGTCTGGTGAGGGCCCTCTTTCAGGCTGCAGATGTCTAGCTTCCGGTTTCTTTGTATGGTAGAAAACAAGTGAGCAAGTTCCCTGACCTCTTCTTGTCCTAATTACCCCATTCCTGACCTAATTACCTCCCAAAGGCCCTACCTTCAAATACCATCACCTTGGGGGTAGGACCGCAACATATGAATTTGAGAGGGACACACACATTCAGTTCATAACATCAACCTAGAACAAAAGGGGTGGGCGTGGCTCAGGCATCTTTTCAACAGCCCCGAAAGAAGTCAGTTCCTGTTACTGACTATATCTGGGCCCAGGTCCCATCCTCCTTTGGAGGCATCAGGAAACTGGACTTGAGGCAAGTTTTAGTCACTCTCCACTCAGGTGATTTCTTTAAAGTGTTAAAAAGTGTTTTTTGTGTGTGTTTTTTTAATGCTTCTCCACCACTTCTCAAAGAGTGAACAAACCACTGGGTGGCAGAGACCAAATAAAGAATATTCAAGTTGGCTCTGAGGTTATTTTCTGACAGGCCTTCCCCACACAGAGCTCTTCCCAGAGAAGGGCTGCAGATGATAAATGGTTCTTTAAACACAGAGGGTGGAAATTCAGGGACACAAAGAATACATTAATCATCGCATTCAACGTCCAACGAAAGCCTCAGTCTCAGCCAGCCATGTTCAATTTCAAAACATCATCTGCCTCACAGAAACAAACCAACCAACAAAAAGTTAAAATGACATGGTTTATGTAAAGTATACGAAGTTTTTTATACTAAAGTGACCTGTGATTTAATATTACGATTTCGTTGCTTTTAGATGGCAGGAATGGCTCATTAAATTTCTTCCAAAAGTCCCCAACTGTGGAAATTTCACCATTAAGCTGAACCTCCGAACCACACAGGCCAGCATGTGACTTGGACGGTGAACACGGAGCATGTCAGTGACGACATGGACTGTGTGGTCCCCCGCACTTTGAATGTCTCTTGCTGAGAGTGAGAGTCAGCAACCAGTCTACGAGTGTCTCTCTGTTGAGGGCCCTGGGAGTGGCTTTCAAAGGAACTGGCTTTGTTGGCCTGTTGGTCACATGTCAGCTAAGCCCATCCTGTCAGCTGTCACTTTCCTCTAACTTAGCAAACTGTCCACAGCAATAGCTGCAGTCCCTTTTATTGTCCTGCACAATGACATTCCTGAACAAAATATTCATCAGACCTTACCCATCTGTAACCAGAAGGACGGTAACCCAACGCCGACATTTAGACACCGACACCTTACCCAGTGATCATCATTGTTGTAAATACTTTCCTTGACTTGCTTTTTGGAGACAAACCACATTGCTTGAAAATGTAACCAATTTCTTTAAATGTACAAAGTCTCTTTGCTAGTGAATGCTCATTTTGCTGCAGAACAATCTCCTGGATCCATTCACTGCTCTGTAATTTCCTCTGTCACGTGGATTTAAACAAGGACTCAGAAGTGTGTATGTGTTTGTCCTTGTTCCTTACAGAAAGTAAAGATGCATCAGGGGGCATAGCAGCCCGCTCCAGTGGGCCATGTCCATCCTTCTCAGTGCTCATACCCTGAGGAGGCCCCGGGCACCCTGGGGTACATCAGCTGGTTGATTTACCAAGTGAAAGAGGTAAGCAGTGCCACCTCTGGGTTATCTCACATGAAACAGCTCCTGGACATGTACCTGGACTGGAGCAGACCCAGGAGTTTTGGCTCATTTCTGTGGAGTAAATAAGGCAAAGATGATAGTAGCCAGGTGTGCCTTGCACAGGCCTGCGCCCAAAATATGTATTCTTGGGCTGGGAACACCAGTGGATACAGAGGAAGCCCCAACACACAGTTCTTTTCTTCCCATCTTGGTCCTGTCCCATAGCACAGTATCCACATGCAAATGTTGGACTACACCAGTGCAAGCATCCAATGGACCCAATGCACATCCTTTGCAAATAATAGCAGCCCTTTGGGCCCAGGGGTGTTCACACTGGCATAGATCTGAGGATAGAAGCAGGAAGGCTCGAGAAGTGGGATTTTGGCTGTTTGGGAAGGAAACTCAGGATCTAAGGGACTCGGGAGATGGACTAGAAGTGGGAGTGCTGGCTCTGCTATGGGAGCGCCTGGACCCGTGGAGCTTCATTTGTAAACTGAGGAGGTTTAGAACCCGGAGCTCTCAAGCTTCTCTCCAGACCTGATACCCTGGGCCTCTAAGATTCAGTCTGTCATTTCTCCGTTGATGGCTTAATCTCAAACACTAGACAATCAAAATATAAAGAGAAGGAAACATGAAGAAAATTCAAAGTAGTATAAAAGTCTCCAATCTCAGCCTCTCTAGTTTAAGAGATGAATAATGAGCTATTGTGACTGATTTATGATCTGGTTAATAGTTATGAAATTTATCTGTCACAGGTGACTATCAACCAATCAGAGTATAAATATACACTTAACATCAAAACTATAATCAACATATTCATTGCATTATGAGGGACTCAAAACACCTCCAGTTTTCCAAGAGCCATAAAATGTACACATCAGAACTGTGTGTATTTAACACATACTTCACTACAGAAATGTGGACATGCTGGGCAGATCAGAGGACTTACGTGGACAATTTTCACAATAGTTAAAATTTCAAATGCTATTTCCGTGGACTGGACAACCTCTTCCAGGTTTGTTTTGTTTACCTCCTGATACATTGTCATGGCAGCAGGCAACACCAACCTCTCCTGAAGTTCATCGTCATCATGAGACAAAGAAAGACCAGACACAGCAAAGCATCATTGTCATGAGACACGGCAAGTCCATTCACAGTTAGTAGCACTGACCTGCCCTTTCATATCTGGAGCAATAGGAATGGTGGGCCAGATGGTTGAGTAGACACCAAAAAACAGCAGCCAGATCAGCATGCTTCCCCAGACAGCCAGGTGACTGAACTGCAGAAGAAAACACACACTCAGGCAGTGTGGATGTTGGCACAGAGGGCCCCCCCACCCCCCCCGATCTACAATCCCTGGGTCCAAGCGAGCTTTCTTGATGGAAGGATTCTGATAACTCTCCAGACATTGGAGAATTTGATCTCCCTGATTTCCTTGTCTCCAAGTGTTTAACAATGAGTTCAGGTGATGAGTGGCCGTGAACCACCCTGAAGATGAAGGTGCTTTGGCCACCACAGCTGACCTTCCTCTAGATCCATATTGTGGTGTTAGCTGGCCTGTCTCATTCCTCACCAGCCATTCCAATCATGACACAGTGACATAATCCCCAAACACTGGAAATACGCCAACTGTGTAAATCCGGGGTCCGATTAAGTAAGTGATGGAATGGTTGTAGGATTTAATACTTTGTAATCATGAAAAAATGATTTTGTGGAAGTATAGTTTAAGGGACAGAAAAAGTTTATGATGTATTTTTAAGTGAAAACAGGTAAAAAAGTTCTACATTCTGTAATGCATTATCTTTTTAAAAAATACACAGAAGAAAGTCTGTAAGGTCATATAGCAAACTCTCAATAGTCACTTTCTCTTGGTGCTAAAATTATGGAAATTAAAACTTCTCTTTTTGTCCTGTATTTTGCATGTACTTTTTTTACAATGTGCACACACATTTGAAACAAGGTGACTGTTAATAACTTAGAGCTGTATTACGTGCCACACACATGAATCTTCAGGAAAATTTGGGTTGCAAATTTGCCCTGATAAAAATCAAACCATGATTTTTACATGCAAAATTTAAAATAAGGTAGCTGGATATTGCTTATTGTTTTTCCAAGCCTTAAAAAGGTATCATACCAGGAAATATATCTACAGTGAAGAGAGAAATAATTCTAGAGAAAACTTACTTTAGTCCAAGCTGTAGTCTCCAAACCAGCTTTCAGACAAACAGTGACAACAACATACTGTGAAGAGAAAGAGGCACAGGGAAACCCTGTTATGCTCAGTGAGTTGTTTTCACTTCGTGGGAGACATCCCAGGAGTCCCCTCCAGAGGCAGCTCCTCCCAGGCAGCTGTACTTGGAAAGTGCCATCTAGGTAGCTAATTCCCTAGGGGCTAGTTTAGGGACTACAGGTAGGTTTACTTCAAGAAAAGCCCTCACTTTAGTGAGTTTTCTCACAATAGTTCCTTTTGCTCTTTACTTAACCTGGAAGAATTGGGGGAAATCACCTTCTTTAGTGTTCTCCCGCACACCCTCCCCTACCAGGTAGACGTACAATGGTTATTTGAAGAATGGGGAAATCTGTTAATCATTTGTCCAGAAATCCTGACTCTGCCTAATCTTCACCAAAAATGAGGTGGATATTTCACAACCATTCTGAACTTTAAGAAGTCTAGAATATATAGTTTAAAGATCTGAAATAAAGGGTTCTGAGAGGCAGACTCCACGCTTATGCTATTTAAGAATGGCTCAGTGCACAGAGAAATAAACTTACTGTGTAAACAATGTTTCCAACAAATAAATAGTCTGTGGCATGACCGTTGGCCAACACGGTATCTGAAAAACAAAGAAATCACCACTAACCCCCGGAGCACAGCACTCTACTTCATTCAGAATGCAAAAGCAAAACTTTAGAAACATTTATCAAAGTGTAAAGGAACTTCAAAAATTATGGCTGTGATTCTGAATTATTTTCATCATGTATTTCTCCAGATGAAGCAAACAAAATCAGTTTCCAACAAACCAGACAACCACACAATAGATCTGCACTGAAATTTAGAGTTTTATAAAAGTTAAAATCTCCCTTTTTGGGTTAAAAATAGGAATAGAATAAGGAGATGTTAATCTGTCTTTATTAATGGCAGTATTAACATCTTTTCCAAGGGTTCATTTTCTAATCATCTTTAATTTCTGCTAAATTGGAATTATAGGCCAATAAAAGAAAATAACTGCATGAATACAAAATCATTTTATAATTGGAGAGCTCAAAGAATTTTGGAGGATACTGTCTTCATGTTCACATGTGCAGCTACATGACCTTCTGGAGTCTACAAATGCAGGGATGTAAACAATATGACAAGAGACGTCTAGAAAATACAATTAGGATGTTGAAGCTTTAATTTTCATATCTTTTCCAATTGTTGCTTTTTGATGTATTTACATATACTATAATGTATATAATACTCATGAAGGCAGAATTCTAATAGAGTTGTCTAATTCATGTCAGCTGACCTGCTTTGAAAATACTGGTTTTTATCCTGAGGGGTCAAAGTGTATTTTAAGATCAGGAATGGTTTCTTTGGATGACATTGCCAATCTCCTTGTATTCTCTGTTATGCTCAAATTCAGACCTGTGGCCTACAGGCCAAGCATATAGGGAGTTTTGTGTACAAAGTTCCAACACAGTAGTTGGTTGCTATACGCACATATAACTGGGCTCACGGATTTACCCATCTGCGTGTTAAAGAATCCTATTAATGAATCAAAATCTGCTAGTTTTTTAGAACACTGTAACAACCAAGTCTCATCATAGGCAGAATCTGGTGACCCTGGGGCCCTGTATCTAGCTTCAGGGCATGCCTCTCCTCCTGATTCTAGACAGGTCAATCAACCACAAAATGGCATCGTGACTGTGGCACAGGCCTTAGGTTTTAGCACTAAACCAAGGGACTGTGTGTGGCAGGAACAGAAGGGTTCTCCTAGGAAGAGGTGGTGGGGGGTGGGGAGAGAGAAAAAGAGAGAGAGAGAGGGAGGTGTGGCCACTGACTTAAAGAAGAATGATCTCAAAGCTTAGGGAGAGGAGGTGGTGAAGACAGAAAGGAAGGGAAAAGTTCAAAAAGTAAGGGAGAAGCTAAATTGACCTCAAAAAGGTAACAAGTCACTGTATTAGCTCATAGTTATTCAAAACTGTGGGAGTTCACTTTGCAGTAACTGGCTCTGAGATTGTTTTAACAACAAAAATGACATTTTTAAAGGCATTCCTCAATAAAGAAATGCTTGAGATTAGACCGGAGACCATTTATTTGATTCTAACATAGATTATAGCCTTGAAAGGGGTAACATTATTCTTTCTTTATATAACAAATATTTATTTGAAGTCTACTTTCTGCATGTACTGTTATGGGAACTAGGGAGACAAGGTCCATCTCTTCATGTAGCTCACATTATAGTGAGGGAGTCAGAACAGAAACACACATAGATGCACAATAAGCTGGCAGGTGTAATAAGTACTATAAAGAAATATGCCCTGACTACTGTTGCTCAGTGGATTGAGCATAGGCTGAGAACCAAAGGGTCTCCAGTTCGATTCCCAGTCAGGGCCCATGCCTGGGTTACAGACCAGGTCCGCAGTGGGGGCCACATGAGAAGCAACCATACATTGATGTTTCTCTCCCTCCCTTCCTCCCTCCCTTCCCTTCTGTCTAAACATAAATAAATAAATAAATAAATAAATAAATAAATAAAATCTTAAAAAAGAAATACCAGGTAGGGTAATGGAACAGAGAGTGACAGAGGCACTTTTAGATGGGGAATTCAGGAAAAATCTTTTTGAGAAGGTAACAATGGAGCAGATCTGAAGAGTATGAAGGGGTGATTAAAAGAATATCTAAGGGGATATCATTCTGGGCAGAGAGAAATTGCCAGCATTCTGGACATAGAACATGGATGACCTCAAAGACCATCACAAAGAGCAGTTTGGCTGCACTAGGAAATGCTCAGGCAGAAGGGGCAAATTAGCATAGGCCACAGTAAGGAGGTGGGTTTTCACTGTCAATTGAGATAGTAAACTGCTGGAGGATTCTGAGCAGAGGGTGACATGGCGTGAGTGATTCTCTTAAAATACAGCTTTCGTGGGAGAACAAACCTTGCCCTATCAAAACCAGAGAAACAATAAATGCAATGCCAGTGTGGAAGTGATTGTAGCAACCCGTCCAGGAGGGTGAAACTGGTAGTGTGTAGATCTGTGTCCAATAAGGTAGCCACTGGCTGCTGCAGTTGTTTACATTTAAATTAATTAAAATGAAATAAAATAAAAAACTTAGTTCTGCCAGGGGCGGGGGAGGAGGGAGAGGGGAAATGAGTTATTGCTTAATGTTTACAAAGTTTCAGTTCAGGGTGATGAAAAAAGTCTGGAATAGATAATGGTGACAGAGGCACAATATTTTGAATGTAATTAATGCTTCTGAACTGTCCACCTCAAATGGGTCATAGAACTAAAAGTACAAAACTCACTCTTGGAATAAAACATAGGAGTAATATGGCCTTAGATTTGGCAATGGTTTCTTAGCTATGACACCAACATTGCAGTGACTATAGAAGAAAATAAGTAGGGCTGCATCAAAATTAGAAACTTTTATACTTTAAAGGATGCCACCAAGAAAGTGAAAAGACAACCAGCAGAATGGAGAAAATATTTTCAAATATTTATCTGGTAAGGAACTTGTATAATTGTTATCCAGAATGTGTATATAATGAACTCTTAAAACTCAACAATAAAAAGACAAATAACTCAATTTTAAAATGGGCTAAGGATCTGAATAGACATTTTCCCAAAGATATACAAAATGGTTAATAAGTACACGAAGAGATGCTCAACATCATTAGCCATCAAGGAAATACAAAATTAAATCCACAGTGAGATAACATTTAACACCCACTAAGGTAGCTATAATAAAAAAGATAATAACAAGAGGTGGCAAGAATATGGTGAAATTATAACCCTCATACACTGCTGGTGGGAAAATAAAATGTTGCAGCCACTTGGGAAAACTGTCAGCAGCTCTTCAAAACTTTATGCATCATTGCCACAAAACCCAGCAATTCCACTTCCCACGTAGGGAAGTAAAAGCACAGGAATGAAATACAAAAACTTGCACATGAGTGTCCACAGCAGCATTATTGGCAATAGCCAAATGCCATCAACTAGTGAATAGATAAGATGTGGTACATCCATGTGACAGAATATTACTGAACACTAAGGAGAAATAAAGTGCTAATACATGCTATGATATGAATGAACTTTGGAAATCTTATGCTAGGTGAAAGAAGTCAGTCATAAAAGGCCATATATTGTATGATTTTACTTGTATGAACTGGTCAGAACAGGCAAATCTATAGAAGAAAGTAGATTAGTGGTTATCAGAAGCTTGGGGTTATTAGGGGGAAATGAGGAGTAACTGCTAACAGGTATGGGTTTCTTTTGGGGGCGGTGAAGGTGCTCGAACATTGATTAAGGTCACAGCTGCACAACTCTGAATATATTAAAACCATAGAGTGTACTCTTTAAAGTGGGAATTGTATTGTAGGTAAATTATATATCAATAAAGCTGTTATTAAAAAATCGGTTTCTCAGTCATACTTAGTCACCTTTCAAATGCGCAGTAGCCACATGGCTAATAACTACTTAGACAGCATGGTTATAGACATCTCCATCATCACAGAAAACTCTATTGGACATTGCAGGTCAAAGCGGCTATGTTGGAGGTAGAAAGAAGTGATAAAAATTCACATGTATTTTGAAGGTAGATGATAGGCTTTGTTTAAGATTTGGAGGTGGGGTAGAAAAGAATATAAGGAATCCAGGATGATTTTAAGGTTTTTGGCCTGGTAACTAGGTGAATAGTTTATTAGTTACTTGAGCTGGAGAATACTTGATCTGGTCTTATTAATACAGGAATACTAATTAAAATTGTAGCACATGAAAAGTTGGTCCCAACAGATCACCATTGTAAATTCACAATATAAGAAAAGATAACAACAAAGCATGATACTATTAACACAAGGAAATTTAGAAAAATGAAGTGGAGAGAAGTTGGGTTAGTAGGGAAAATGCCAGTAGTCAGAATGGAAGAGCTTGTTCTATTTCTGCTTTCTTTTTATTTATTTATTTATTTATTTATTTATTTATCTTTTTATCTTCATCCGAGGACATTTTTTTTTCATTGCTTTTAGAGAGAGGAACTGAGAGGAAAGGGAGAGGGAAACATCAATGTGAGAGAGAAGCCCTGACTGGTTGTCTCTCATAAGTGCCCTGACCAGGGACTGAAGAGGTGATCTAGATATGTGCCCTGACTGGGAATAGAACCTTCAATCTTTCAGTTATGGGATGACGCTCCAACCAACTGAGCCATGCTGGCTGAGGCTCCATCTCTGCTCTCTTGCTCCAGATATGCCATTATTTCGTTTTAAAAATTTTAGGTTCTGAGTCTACTTTCATATCTATAAAATGGGGGGTTTCTATCGGATATAGATGATGATGACTGAATTACCTCATCTAGGTGCCTGAGAGGACAGAGAATTTGAAGATTCTCATGTCTTTGTTCTTGGCTGCTAAAGAGCTCCACATATTTAATGGTAGAGACCTTCAGACCTTCCTCCTTTTCAGTTTAGCTTAGGCTCTCTCTCCTAGTCTCAGTCTCATCCTAGTGTTTGTGAATGGAGGACAACAGGCATTTTAATTGAGAAGAGCAATAACCCGAGTGCCCCCAGTTCTACCTACACTAAGCTCTACTGGAGCCCAGAGGAAACTCAGATCAGATGGAAGGGTTAGAAGGGGT